CAACTCCCAGAATTCCCCAGCCAGCATGGCTGGCTGGGGAATTCTGGGAGTTGAAGTGCACCCATCTTCAAGTTCCGAGTTTGAAAAACACTGGTTTACTGAATTAACTTGGTTGCCTGAGTATATACCACGAGCAGCATCAAACACTACCTGGACTAGGTTACAATGCGGCTTGTCTAGTGTTGGGGGAACCCAGACCTAAACCACGGTTTGTGGCTTCCTGTGCATATAAAACAACGCATAAATCCATTTTGTGGAATATTTTGATTTTTTTCAGCGGGGCTGGGGCTGCACCAGAGGCGGGGTGGGGGGGTTTACCCCAGATTTGCAAAGCCAGGGTGGCCTTTGTGTGAATCAGGCAGGGCAAGGGGGTATCTCTGTGTGCAAATTACTCCCAATAATGGATTCACCCATTGCCTTGCAGCTCCTTGAATCTTTAGGGCTTGTGTGATATTTAAATCCGGGGAATTAGTGATAAAACTATGGTTTGGTTTAAAATTGTCTGAAATCATGGTTTGGTAATGGCTTACCATGATGTAAAACATGGGCGTGTGGTTGGTTTGCAGCTTTGTGGCTTGCTCCCGATATGGGGGTTCAGTTTAAACTCTTAATTGATTCACATAGAGGTGCAAAATTTTTAGGGCTCCCCAAAAAGGGGGAAGAAATTAGAGACTGCCGGGAAAGCGCAATCGTTCCATTCCGTTCCGTTCAGACTTTGACCTGAATTTTTTGCTCTGCCCCGCCCCAAATCTAGCTTCCCTCGGCATGTCTGGCCCCACCTGGCTGCCCCCAAAGCAAGTGGGGGTCCTGGGGCAGCCCGACATCACCATTTCTGCTCCAGCGGTCTGCAAGGCCCAGAAGAGTTTTGCCTCGGTTCCCGCGGCCCCCAAACCCACCCACCGATCTCAGGAGACCAATGGAGGGATGAGCTCAGTGGGGCCATCCTCCCGGGACCAGCCCCTGCTGCCAGGTAATCTCGGGAACCGTCAGTATTTGGGGAAGGTCCCTCAAAATGCTCCTGACACCCCTGTGAGGTAGGCTCCTAGTTGCTCCTTCATCGAGGAGAAGCCAGGGTGAGGGGAACAGACTCACACATAGCTGGGAATGGATCCACGTGGGTCCCCCTTTGAGTGACGGCCTGCCGCTGCGGGAAACGTCAGTCGAGGAAGGCAAACCTTTCCAGCCGTCCCAGGCAGTGGGAGTTCCCGGCCGCAGGATTTTGCAGGGGCTCAGCGTGGTCTGAAGGCCACGCTTCACAGCTTGGCCAGCGCTTGGTGGAACCACTTGGGGGGCCAGAAGGAAACTCTCCTCCTCCGAATTGCAGGAACGTCGGTCGCGGCACGAGAGTGGCGCATCCGTTGGGGCTGCGCATCGGTGGGGTTGCTGGCATTGCTCGGGGAGGGGCTGAGCTCACCGCCAGATGTTCTTTGCACTTTTGTCACGTCCTGCCTGCAAGGGACGAGCTCTGCATCTGTATTCGTGCCACACGCTAGACCCGGCTGAAACACAGGGTTAGAAGTTGGGGTTCGGGGTGTTTGGGGAGCTCCACCGTTGTCTTTACCCGTCAGGTGGACGAAGCCTTTGTGTGAAGGGAACAGAGTACTTGTGTTCTGTTGACCCAGGTTTAAGGTTAAGCGACTCGTGCGAACTCAGCCTTTGCCCTTGACCTGCGGGGGAACCAGCCCTCGTGTTGCCCAGAAGGTTGCCCATTGTGAATGGGATGCAAGCATAGCAGCCGCGTTTCCTTAACCTGGGTTTACTGCCTTGGGCGCACCCCATCAATGTATCTACTGCCCATTTTGGGATATCTCAAAATCCCGAGCAGGGCTCTGGGTGTCATTTTCCTACAGTTCCCAGCAGGCCTTGCCACTGGGCGGGCAGGTGGGTCTGGGAGTTGCTGTTCACAACCCCTGGGGGGCCCAGGTTCCTGCCCCCGCCCTCCGCTGGGCTTCATGCTCCCTCCTCCCCACCAGGCCCCGCGCTGCTTCCTCCGGACTCTGCTGCCGAGACCCCCTACTCCTCTGTAGGCGAGCGAGGATCCAGGGGCTCCTGGGGCAGCGCCTCACCGCCTGGCTACCCCCTGCAGGTAAGGAGGGCCAGGGGTTGGAGGAGGACCCGCCAGGCTGGCACAAGGATGCTTTCAGCGGCCTGGGCAGGGCTGCTGGCGGGGGAACAGAGGCTGAGCGGCCGATCTTCTCCAACTTGGTGCCCTCTGGGGCTCTTGAGAATGCAACTCCCAGAACCTGGGGGAATTCTGGGGGTTGCAGTCCCACCGGGCCCGGAAGGGGCCAGACGAGGAAGCCAACTTCTGGCTACTTCAGTTTCCATTAAGATTCAGCTCCGTCACGCCTTAGCCTTCTGCAACAGAGGGCAGACGGAGGTTCAACAGGGGCAACCCTTTTGGCCCGGAGCAGTGTTTTTCAACCTGGGCCACTTTTAAGATGGGTGGACTTCAACTCCCAGAATTCCCCAGCCAGGGGAATT